GAGTAGCGCACACAAACAAAGACTCTTGGAGACAATGGAGCTGCAGAAAAGAAAAGAAAGCCATGAGCTGTTATTCTTTCTCTTGCTTGTTATATAAAAAGTTTTTTTTTCACCACTGAGTTTATGCAGGTATTGTATATGAACTAGGATGATGTAAATGTGTGGACATTTAATTCTATTTTTTTTTTCCATTGAGCTCCAGCTTCTCTATTCAGACTCTTCTCCTTGTTTTCTCTTTTTCTTTCCTCGAGAAAATGGGGGAGTTGGAGCAGGTAGTGCATACAGCCTAACCTGGCTAATCTAAACATTCTTCTTGCTCTTGTTCTGTCTTTCTTGACCACTTTCTAAAATCTTCTGATAAACTATTTTTTCTTTTCTCTCCTCTCATCTATCATGAAATTGGAGGAGTAGGGGAAGGTGGAGCGTGCAGCCTGATCCAACTCTCCCAAATAAGCCTCTGTCCTCATTTGAACACCTCTTTTCTCTTTTTTATTTTCTCTCTTTGCATGCGAGTTCGACGAGTGGTGACGAACATGGATGTTTCCAGAATATCGGAGCCAACTGTTGAACCTCCCTGTGGTGTGGCAGGGCTTAATTTGACAAAACCACTTAAAAACTAATGTGTTGGCTCTCACTGCCCGTCCTAGCTCCACAGTTGTTTGAGCGTTAGGGGGCATTGTCGATATCTGGAGCTCTCAGAAACAGAGCATGGGTCCTGGCTTGCAGTGGCCTCTGATGCCTATCAGTAGGCTATGAAACTTATTAGTTAGAGAGGCAATTACAGAGGGGGGTTTCCCCATTGAGTGCTTACCCTTTTCATTGGGTTACTTGAATCTTATTTTAAAAAAAAGGATATACTTTTCCACTTGGTTTATTCTTTAATAAACTTGCCTTCAGTTCAGAAGGAGGGTGGTTATATAAATAAGTTCATCTTTTAGTGTTATGGAAGTATTTCATGCTATTTTTTTCATATGTGGGCCTTCAGGAGTCACAAGTAAATTCTGATTACAGGCTCTATCCTGAAAAATATATGTTAAAATTCAAAGCTGCTTTTTCAGCCCCTTACATTTTTAAGATGACTGTGTTTGCATGTATGAAATCCTTCAGTTACTGTGAGCATACCGTGAACATGTCTCTAAAATATTTTAAGGTTGATAATGTATGAATCCCTTTCATCATATAAGCCATGGACAAAAGTTGGCTCTATGGGAGACAGAAGTATTTTTTTGATTAAACGTAGTAAAGAGTGTTTCAAATTTGTTCCAAACACAGAAATATAAGGATACTTCTGTTTCTCTATCCTCCTCCTGATGAAATGGAAATGTAATGCATTTGTAAAACCGTACCTCCTCAATGCCATTTGACGTGCGCAGCTCCAGTCCCACTTCAGAAATCTCGTGGTCGGCTTCCTCTCGCAGATCCTCAACGGTCTGAATCAGCACCTGGTTCTGGTCTTCAAGGTCTTTCACATAAGACAGCAGGAAATTCACTTTCTTCTGCAAGAAAAACAGTAGAGCAGGATCAAACGGTGGTTTATTTGCTGTGATTTAACATGCCGACAGTAGAACCAAGCCTTTTTTCCTCCATAACAGGAAATTGTTTACTTAAGTGAATCAGTCAGAAAAAAAGAAAAACTGATCAGATCGTGTGCACCTCAAGTTATAAGAATTTATTTCTCAGACCCTATGTTCTCAAAATATCTCTATATTTTGCCAAGAGAACTTAATATTGATTAGTATCTGCAAAGTTCTCAGTTACGTTTCAACAAACCGAGCTTCCTCTCCATAGATATCACAGCTCTACACATCCGTACCATAACCTCCCACTCAAAGAGCAAAAAGTTGCGTATTAACATAAATCGGTAGCGCCAATTAGCTCCAATGAGAACAGAGCTCCTCAGAGACTGAGTTGCAAAGACAGGAAGTCCTCTTCGGTGACCTATAAATGTTGTAGTCTCTCTTGGCGAATCAGTGTTTTCCTAATTGACAAATCACAGAATTGAGCTGCATGATATCCCAGAGATTCATCAAACATAAAAGTGCCGTCAGATATCATCTGACACGAAAACAAAATGAAAAGAAAAACAGGAAATCGACTCACAAGGGACACATGAAAGGTCCCCAGACAAGCAGGAAAAGAGGATCTAAAAATGTATGTTTTGTTTGGTTTTATCGATTCCTTGTGTCTTTTGTAGTAGAGTATGACAGGGAATTGAATTTTAAGGGAGACACATGTAGTTGGGACTAAGAAGTCTTGCAGAGCATATTTGGACTCTTTTACTCAGACATTTGAAGGTAACCATGGCTGAAATTGTTAAAGTGTAGCAATTGTAAGTTAATGGTTATAGACTTGCACTCCTCTGCAGAAAGTAGTTCGTGTGTTTTTAACATCTGGACCACAAAATTGTCCAAATATTTTGAATATATAACATTTTATAAAAATATTCTCTTTAACCTCTCAACCTAGTATGTATTGTGCACCCTGATACTTGACAAGAGAAGTGAAACTTCCTTTGAAACCATCACCTTTTTTCCCTTAAACTTTACAAGGACTTGGATTTGATTTAAATGTAAAACATTTTTGAAATTTCAATATAAAATGGTTGCATAAAACTAGTCGTGTCAGGAAAAAGAGGTCAGATTTCCTTAGTAGCAGAGAGTCCACTGCAGTTGACCTCTGAACAGTAATATAACAAAGAAATACTTTGTAAACTGCCAGGAGTACATTATATGTTAGCCATTCAGGAGGATAATAGTCCCTTTGTGTCGAAGAGTTGTGTCTAAGATTGCATTTGATTGTTTACAAAAAAATAGGTCGCCTAAACATGCTCAACAACTAACCAACATAAAATACCCAGTCCTCGCCATTCTTCAAAATAGTCTCTCAGCTCTTTGATGCCAGAAAAAAACAACATAATTTTGCAGTTGTTCCTTAAAGGGATTGAATTTAGCCAAATAGCCGACCTGCACAAGAATTCTAGCTCTGATAAAAGTGAGTGTCACTGAATTTTAGAGCTGTTTTGCCTTAGAGGAGCACCTGTGTACCTGTGCTCATGAACGTGTGTCCCCTACAGCCACAAAAGTCAACAAGCAGTTTATACGGTCCCCTGACGCATAATATAACACTGATGTATAGCTTCAGGGAGAGTAACTTCACAAAGGTGGCAGATTTGACAGTAAGGGTTGACATTGTATTTTCAGGTGTGGAACTGAAAATACATCCACTTTGCAAGGGACTGAGCCGGGAGGAATGGGGAGTCACAGGTGGCTTTTTGAAGGGATTTTTCTGGTATTTTTGTTTGTTTGTTTATTTCTACCAAGAAATTAAACACACTATTTATTAAACTTGGGCTTTAATTAAAGCTACGGACCTTTAAAGGAGGGCAGGTTAGCAAAACTTAGGTCAGGCTATGCTAACATAAAGAGTACGCAACTTATCTTTCAAACTAAGAACAACAGTCACATAATTCATGGAAAAAAGGAGACTGCATAAGGTAAGGTGTGATTAAAATATGCGATTCATGATATAAACAAATATTAGCTGGCATTTAAAAAATTTCTCAATTTGCATGTCTTTTCTTACACGTTTGCATTCTAACAGGTGCCTCCTGAATTTAAAATAAATTCAAAGTGGAAGAGTGATATGTATGACCAAGGTTGACTAACTGAGTGACCTTTAAAGTATAAACTACGCAACGAGAGAGTGCTGAGGTTACCAACATTTATATTTAAAGTAACCACACAAATTAGACAAAACTCAAAGGTATGTTGGTTCACTCTTTCAACCTTTGAATTAGCTAAACCTGGTCGCTCCACTTCAACAAAATCAATTGTTTAATTTTAAGGTTGTTAAAGAGCATCTTAGGAAGCATTGTATAGCTTCATGGATAAATGGGCTCTATGCTTTGAATGGACAACCTCTATGATTAACTGTCCACATCAAGCGTTAGGACTTGGGAGCTTCTGGGTTCTAAACACATAACCTTGTTAAGCAAGCCCGCGACTGGGGCCAGCTAACTGAAACCCATCTCTGAAACCTTGTTACACTTCCTTTGATGCACAGCCCTGCTCACACAAGCTGCATTCTGCCGCTAAATGATGTCACATGACAATCTTGATGATTAGAAACCCCTCTTTTTTTAAATACGAGTGTGGATCTTTGTTCCCGATCCCTGCCGCTCAGATGGAAACATAATGCGATTTGCCACCTGTTACAACTTCTGCGGCTTTATGAAAGCGCCCCTCTGCTTCCTCATGTCATTTATCTGACAGGACAGAGGTCGTCTTCTGATGCACAGAGTCATGAAGGACAGGATGCTCTTTGATTTGTATCAGACGGATAACGACCTAATGACAGCAGATGCTGGCAAAAAAAACTACACATCTCGTAGAGACTCGGATCTGAATCACAGACCATTTGAAACAAAGGGGTAGTCTCAGTGACGTCACCTGTTAGTTTCTAAAGAGACATTATGAAGCGCAGTTATGGCAGTTGTCCAATTGGAAATGCTGACTCAACCTAACTTCTGATCAGCCCGGATACTGGCAACGAGTGGGGGTAAGGCAGACCTTAAAAGGGATATTCCGGCGTAAAATTAATTTAGGGTCAAACACACTGTAACACCGAGTTAGACACCCCCTCAAGAGATGAATGTTGCCAACAACTTGCTTCTCTAGTAAACAAACTTTAGTATTGACCGCATGATAGCAACACACAGCGGTCTATAGAACCATACACAAACCTCAACCAAAACGCCACTCTATAGCCACAAATAATGCTGAGAACAGCACCTAACTTTATCAACAGTACATATAAGGTCCTAGCCATAGTACTAGCCACCAAACATCTTTTTAACTTTGCCTAATTTCCTTTGGAAAGAGACTAAAAACAGCTCACCCTCTCTCTTCCAGCAGCCATTTGTTTGTAGCGAGACCTCGGGCCAGTCCACTACAGACTGCTGTGGGGTGACGCAGCTCAGGGAAGAACATTTATGATCATTTCTTAAGGCAGAACTACCGCGTCTGCAGTGCAAAATGATTAGTATGATGATTATAACTTCAAGGAAATTATACAGTTATGATCATAAATGTTCTTCCTTGAGCTGCGTCCCCCTGCTGCAGTCGATGGACTTGCCCGGAGGTCTCCGTACAAACAAGCATCTGTTGGAAGAGAGATGGTGAGTTGTGCTTAGTCTCTTTGCTTAAGAAAGCTAAAACAATGTTTGGTGGCTAGTACTACGGCTGGGACCCTATATGTACTGTTGATGAAGTTAGGTGCTGTTCTCAGCATTATTTGTGGCTGTAGAGTGGCGTTTTGGTTGAGCGCGTGGCTCTCTGTATTGCAATCTGCAGTCATTGTTGATAAAACTACAGAAGCAAGCAGTCGGCATCATTCATCTCTCCGGGGGTGTCTAACTCAGTGTTATGGTGTGTTTGACCCTAAATTATTTTACGCCAGAATATCCCTTTAAGACCACACCCTTTGAAGCAGGCTCCAAAATTGTTTACTTCTGCAGTAAAATGGCCGAATTAGGATTCCTGAACATTGAAACAGGGGTCAACTAGACACTTCGAATACTGCAGTTTTGTTGCAATTCCAAGACCACTAGATTGGACTGGAAAATGATTATTCCTATCAAGGAGCAATTTGGTTTGAAACAGAAGCCCTACTAAGTATTATAACACCACACTTGTAACACAGATTTAGTCAGTTTGTTAATTCATCTAATCACATACCACAGTTTTGTTTGTTCAGTTCAACATTGTGCTTCTGTCTGAATTACATGGTCATAATGGCAGCGGTGGGATTCGAACCCACGCCTCCAGAGAGACTAGAGCCTAAATCTAGCGCCTTAGACCGCTCGGCCACGCTACCGTTGACAACGTAACACCATCCTCAGGTATCCCAATCTTTACTCACCTGTAGTCGTTCCCCTCCATTTATGGTTGTGTCCAGCTCGACACATCTCAATCTCTGCTCATACAGATCTTTAAACTCCTTCACAAGATGTTTCAAGCTGTTTGTCCCCGAACTTAAACCTACAGTGTCAGTTTCCAGCTCCTCTTCTTCTGGAGGAGAGGGCAGCTTCAAAGTATCTGGTCCAGAGAGCCTGGAGTCGTCCCTACATTCTGGTTCACATATCTTTCTCCTAACTTGTGTGCTAGTGTTAAGCATTGCTCGAATAATATCTGCAGGTGAAGGAGCTCGCACTCAAAATCACGGTTTTTCACTCTGGTTAAATATTTGCTAAGCCTTGAAGCTCACGGAGGGCTATAAGACACGTGTAGAGGAGGCAATGAACCACTAATGTGTTGTTTTATCAGTGCATGAGAGCGAAAGCTGTGCTGCTTTGTGTTAATTACCACCTATTGGTCGCTATGTACTGTTACCACAACGGAGGAGAGTGAATACATTCATTTCCCCACACAGACCGACGCTTCCCCCTGCAGTTTGCCGCTGTCTTGGCGCTCTGTGATCTGATTGGCTCCTTTTGACTTTTGCCTGCGTCATAGTGTCGTTCTCAGACACCATTCGTTGCTCTTTCTCGTGGGGGGCGGGGTTGAATTTAACTACCCGGAAGTTCTGTGTTGTTTTCGTCGCAACAGGGGAGACTGAAGCACGTTGAAGTCACCTTCCCCTTGAGAAGAAATGGGTAAATATGCCTTCTTTATGGTATCAAGCGGACATTTGAGTTAACATCTCTTCTTTTAAGCCCCTGTCGCGATACCAATGCCTCTATTATACGGTGTAAAGACTCTGCTTTAGTGATATTTGCTCTTAAGTCTGTATTTGCCTTTAAAATTCAATCAATTACAGATATGCACACTCAATTCAGATCAAATTATCAACTATTTGGAATTAGTTTTCAGTAAAAAGTATCCATAGGTGTTTCTATCTTGTGCAACTTTTGATTTTAACCTTGTGAGACTGTATCCCCTCAAGAGTATGTTATACTGCTTCACACATAATTCCATTATTCCCCTAAATAATCAGTGCCAGAGATCAAAACCTTCCACATTGAGATTCAAGGCAAAGTTGATCTTATTGATTTTCAAGAGACTACTCACTTCATTTCTCTCATCCCAATCATCACTGCTCTGCTCTTATCTGTCTCTTGGTTATATCTCTCCTTTCCAGTGGCTTTGACTGCACTGCTCTCACACACACTCTGCCCAAAACCTAATCCCTGCTGTGATTATCACATAATGCTCCTACCTTATTATCAAAATGGAGCAGATTTGGGTTTTGTTGTTGTTAAAGACTGACGGGCACGAGCGAAAAAAATTAAGAGACAATGTCATTATGAGGAGAAAGTGGAGCGGCTGATTGCATGAGATTGAAGTATAGGCGCATGTCTCTAGAGCTGAACACTTAGTGTAATGAGTGTGTTTTTAAGGGAGTCACTGAAGTTAAATTGGGCTGTGATCTCACTCAGGGGTCAGAGGGTTATACAGTTTCCAGATGAAAGGAGGTGATAAAAGGAAGAAGGGTTATCTCAGCTCTTATTTGGAAAGAATCTTGACGTAATGGATTCACTTTACAGTTCTGATCATTCAAAGGAGGAAAATACATTAGACTTTTTATACGGTGTGCCATATTCTTCGAAGAAAAGGGCGAAAAGTCTTTCCAAAAACACAAATCATGAAACATTTTACTCAGAAAATAAATCAGTGTTCATTAGTGTTCAACTTTTTTGTTATTTGGGTGCATCTCTAGAGGGATAACTCTTCATAGACTGAAATGGCCTGACATTAAAACTGTAGCTTTATTCATGTATGCACAAAACTTCTTAGGTGAGCTACATGTTGGAGCCCAAACAGCCAAAATTTTTATCAAAACTGTTACTTGAAATATTTATGCCAAAGGGTGAGAAACTTTATGATGACAATTCACAACAAACAAGTTGGCAGGGATGCACTTGCTGGTAAGTAGTCCTCTCACTAGTCTGTTCTTACCCACTCAACTGTGCTTTAAATAGGACCAGGCGATATGGGAAAAGGTTTATCACAATATATTTTTTCATATCAGTCGATATCGATATATATCACGATATAAAAATTGAAATCTAACAGTTCTTATTGGTAGCATGTCTTTTGCAATACAATAAGCTACTGCATCTGTGAGGTCTTTGTGTGTCTTTGGCATTTTGTCATAAGGCGTTGCGCTAGAGAAAGTGGACTGAATGGTGCTCTGCCGCGTGGCACCGCTTCAGCTGGTGAAAAAGATTTGAGGAATTCCCTGACTTTACAAGAACATGTACTCGACATAATTTGCAGTGCACGTTACTCTGCTTTATGTCCAACTTCAAAAAACCAAAATACCGCCACATCAACGTTTTCATGCCAGTGTTGTCGACAATCTGTTGAGCCTTCATCTTCATCACGTGTTAAAGTGCTATTTGCGTGTAGCTGCAGCCTACTACTATGCAGTTGTTTGCTACTTGGTTCTAATTCAGCATGACTGGTTCAGCACAAAGCAGATCCGGAGCAACTCCCCTTGTCATTGGCTATTCGTATAGTCTACCAAAACATGGCAGAATGGCAACTAGCGAAAAGCATATTGACCATGTTTTATATTGATATTGAGGGAAATTAATTTTTGATTTATATGGTTATAGTTTTATCGCCCAGCCCTGGCTATATAATAATATTAGATGTAGCATCAATACAAATGCAAAAGAAAAAAAAAAACCTTGGATATCTTGTAAACATAATCACAGTGACTACCACGTCCTCTCTTGCCAAGGTGAAAGGTCATGCTCTGTGGGACAAAACTTCAGGTATGCTAATATTTTCCATTTTTTCTCCCTGTTCTAGCTGTGATGTCCACATGCAATGATTTTGCAGGAAAACAAGATATTTCCACTCCATTTACAAATCCCCTCTTTCAAACACAAATAAGCCATTGCCGTAATTTAAAAACAGACAGAGTGTTTTCTCCTCCACTATGCGTGTGATGCAGAGAAGCTAAGAAATGTTTCCTCAAGGTTCAGCTCCACTGCTCTCTCAGTGACTCCAAAGAAAAGACACAACTTCCGTCCTCTTATTTATTAGCTGTTCCACTTTTTCCTCCACTTTCATTGTGCCTCTCTGCCCTCTAAATGTTTCATTACATTTTAAGTTGTTATTTTGCAAACCTCTGTACTTATTACTTATACGGCCTTAGCATACTCAACCTTCATACTCATGAAATCAATTAATTCTCTTAAATAATTTACCTTCAGAGCAAACCAGATTAAGTGGAGCACTTTTTTTTCTGTGTGTCAGACGTGGTGTTCTAACTGATGTGTGTTTTTTTGTGTGTTCAGGCATTAACTCGGCCCTCACCCCGTGGCTCGGAGGAGTCTTGGGTGATTAGAGAAAGAGGAGAGCCTTGATAAAGCATTAGTGTGTGACGCATACACGCACAGCCTGAAGACCCCTCTGTGCATTTGCACACATTCATTTTTCATGAAACAGACTCATAACAATTAGTCTGGTTACCGCCTGGGTAATCTTAGCGTCCCCGTAATGCCTGTGGTCTGCTGTATGACATCACTCTCTTAAAAGTTCTAAATCTGACATTCTCATCCGTTTTCAAAGCCAGGACATTAGCAGGCCATGGCTAATAGGCCTGCACTCGTTCCTGGCGAAAGAAGGGCAATAAAGTAAAGGAGGGGAGAGAAAGAGAGAGAAAAAAACGGCTGGAGTGCTTAGAGAAATAGGTTTTATTCACCAGTGCTTTTACTCAAATTAATTTACATGAGCGAGAGAAGAAGATGTAAAGTTGTAATCCAGCATGCTTTGCCAATGCATAGCCTATTTCTCGCTACAAGCATCATAGAAAGCCAAGTGAACATTTATGCATTATTTCAGCAAATATATTATGCTAACAACCATAGCTAAGTGCTCAGGAATTTGAGCACTACGCCGCGCCAAGAGCTAAATCGAGACTTTTGGATGCACACTTCTCCCCCCCCCTCGTCTGTAATGATAGCCCTGCTAGCGGCTTCAGAGCACTTGTCCGCCGAGGAAAAAGCAGAATGCAACCCCCAGGGATATTCCACCTTCCCAGCATCCCTCAGTCTTTAGTCCCCTGCCCTCAACACTATCATCCCCCTCCCTAGACACCAAAGCCAAGGTCAAGAAGAAAGTGCAGCCTTCCCCTGACTACAGGCTATTCCCTGGATGCTTCCACCTTAGCACGGCCGATCCGCACATGCTTCTGGTACATTCCCGCCTCCTTTATTGTGACCGTCAGTCTCAAGGTCAGCTCCATGGGATAGGTTTGCGCTTATCTGTTTTCCCCTTCCTTCTTTTTTTTCCCCCAGTTTTTTTCCTGTACTGTATCACTAGACAGTAGCTCAGAGCTCCCAGTTGTGGGTTTCATGACGTGCTGTCTGACGCGCCTGTCTTTTTTTGTCTGTCTCTTTGTCTATCCATCTTTCTGTTTGTTAGCTGTCATTGCGGACCGTTGTCTAGTATTCAGAGGACCCGGTGCAGCTGCAAGGCTTCAGTCTGACGCTCTGTACGCTTTTGTTGCCTCCCTCCTCTCACTGGTCATGGCCCCCTTTGCCTTGAAGCTATGTTGCAGTGTGTACCCTGTTAGATTGGATATTGTTGTTGTTGTCTTTAAGCTATGGCAGCCAGCCTTGAGTCAGTGCACTATCTTTATCTGAACAAGATGCATAGGCTCAGGGAACAAGAGGAGAGAGAAAAAGTCTCATCTGACCTGAATCAAAATACCCTTTAATATTCCCAGGAAGATGTATTGTGATAAAAAAAAAAAAAAGGGAGACTTTTGAGGTGATTGTTGATTTTTAGAGGACTCCTTTAACCTGCTTTCTGGCTCTGTTGGTTTTCAGCCACCAGCACTTCATAAGAGGGCATTTCATCTCTGTGTAAGTTGGTAGGTTGACCCTTTAGAGAATCATCAAGTCAATAATTATCATCTGGTTTGTGTGTATGAATACATTGGAGAAAAAAAAAATCTGTCCTCGAGTATGTGTGTGTACATCCTGAGTGCAAACGCTGTAGTGTCTGTCCTCTAACACACCGTGCCAGTACTCTGTAAACACTGTCATTGACTGTGACTTTTGACTATTACATAAGGAACATGGATTTCCAGCTGTCCACAGCAAAAGCCCTGTAAATTCAAATGCTTAATTTTTATAGGCAGGCCGGCATTGACTGAAGTGTCTGCTTGTTATATATTTGGCAAGTGCTGCAAGTCTGAAGGGAAGCTGTCAATAGCAATCCCAGCTATTGATATGGCAGTGGGCAGGAGATGTTACTTGGCCCCCGACTCCGGCATCCCTCTGATCCCTCTACATCATAATTACATTAATATTGACAGACCCTTGACAATAGTCACATTACTATTGATAGGTGGCTGTCAATACCGTGTTTCCCCAAATAAAACATATTCATTCATAACTTGTAAACTGCTCGATAAAAGGCTTTGAAAAGAATATTGGACCCGGCCGGGTTTACTCTCCCGAGAGGGCTGCTGCTGCCGCTGCTGCTGCTGTGACGGGGATTTCCACCACCTGGCTGTGCGTGTGTGTATGTGTGTGATAGATTAATTTAACTCTGTATTTGAGCTCTGCATAGATCAAGGCTACCCTTGACATAAATACATAGTCGCACACACACACACACACACACTCACACTCGCAAGGCACATAATCTGCACATTTTCTCCCATCAAGGAAAAAACTTTCAGATTAAGCTAAACAAATGGCGCCTGTTTATTGGTCCCCATACACATTCAGCCCGCGTCTTTTTTTATTTAATCCAAACTCTACTTCCATCACAGGCGAGGTTGTAGTCGCTAAACATGGCAGCATTTCAAATGCACCTCAATGAATTTGTCACACCTGCTTACTTCAGCGTGAATTCACTCTTTTTTCATTCATTTGCTAATTCTAACTTAGTTGGACGGTGTATCCTGGCTCTATTGAAACATCATGAATACACAGATGGTCCTGTGCGCCACAATAAACCCCTGCATTGCCACAGCATATTAGAATGTTTTTTTCATACCTCCTGGAGAAACGTATAAAGTGACCATCATCTCTCTCTCTTTCTGTCAAAACTGCCATATTTACCCGGCTGAAATCTCTTTTAAAGCCTCGTGACAAATCCTGTTCAGCGAGACACAAAAGCCACTGTCAAAAAAAGGCCTCTCTGTCTCTCTCTCTCTCTCTAGCTCTCGCTCTCTGGGCCCCTTGCTCTGTCTCTCCCTGCGTTAGTTAGTCTCCCACTTCTTAAGCGTTTCATTTGAGGAAAGGGCAGATAAAACTGGGGAAACTGTGGCACTTTGGGAAACGTATGCGGCGCTAAATAGCCCAGACGTCACAATGGCGAGATCCCATATGGAGTCGACTCTAGGGGGGAGGCAAATTGTTCCACATTTGGCAGATGTTTACGGTGTACCAGAGACTGTGCCGTTAGCCTAATCCCTGGTGATGTGATTTGTACACACACCCCTATCTCCAGAGGGTGCAGGCACCAGGAGCCCCTGGGCCTCGCCTCTTGTGTATATGTGTGTGTGTCTGTGTGTGTGCCAGGTTGTGTGTTTATACACTGGAGAGAGCAGTCTAAGACCCCCTGCTCCTCTGCATTGCGCCCGCTCAAAGGTTGCATTAAGGACGGGTTTTACATGTGAAAAGTGATTTCCGTTCCCGTGTATAAAGAAAAAATAACCTTCCTAACAGGATGGGCCTCACCTTCAGGGCCTCATTTCCTCTCAACTACTGAGTTGTCCTCCAGTGGCTTTGCCTCCATATGAATTTTGTTCTTTATGACTTTAATACAACAACTATGGAGTTTTATAAATGTTATGAAGTTTTTGAATATTTAGGTTATTTGACTTTTATTTACTCCATGTTTGGGGTGAATTCAGGGATTTTATTTACAACCTGGAATTTGTTTGTTGCGGTTTTGGCAATCATTTAGTTCATTTTAAAATCCATTTCAAATTATAAGGCATTTTACCAAGAAAGAAAGTAATGTATGTAAAATAAAGAGCTGTCAAATGACATTTTTTTTAGTAGTCTATCACAACAACTAGTAATCACTTATATTATTGCTTGTTTTAAAGCTCCTGTGAGGAGTTTTTTGATGTTTAAGAAATAGACTGAAATTGACTGATGCCTTCTCATGATATTAAAAAAAAACAAGAACATTAGCTGCAATATTAACGTGTCCATATTCTTAATCTAAATGCCTGAAACCAGCGTGAGGGGTAGGTGTCAGCGCAGCAGTGGGAGAATCTGCCCTTTTAGGTTTTCTACATTAAAAAAATCACAATGAATATATTATTTGACTGTCAGAAATCAGTGGGATAAGATTTTTTGGTCACTACTCAACTATGTAAAGAACAAGATAAGCAAAGACTACTTTGTCGACAGAAGGCACCAACATTGACACAAACAAAAAGTTCCTTACAGTAGCTTTAAACTTCATTATTTAGTATTTTTCATGCAGAGGTCTATGGCTATTCACTCTACAAAAACAGGTCTCTGTCGGCTTTTGTGATGCAGGTGCATGCTGACGTCAGTCAAAGGACTTCAGCGCCGACACAAACAGCATATTAATTTTGACTTTTCAACTGAGCCCTTGGGATTTTTGTGATTGAAATGTGCCATCTGCAACCCGTTTGTTGTTTTGCATCCAATCAATGGAAGTGGTTGAAACTACAGTGTGCTTTCAGCGCCAAGTTTAATAACAACTACATTCATTTTGGATTAACATGTTGACACTGAAAACCCTCATTATGAAATCCAGAAATAATGTCCGCAGCGAAGCAGAAATAACATCTAGGCCTTGAAAAGTCTCATCATGATAGAATAAATTAATAAAAACTCCACTTGTAATGTATCGTTCAAAACCAGAGCTAAAATAAGCAGTACACATGAAGACAGTAAAAGAAAGAGAAAGGGTTAAAATAAAAACAAAGCAGGCAAAATACTTTTATAATAAAGCTCCTGTGAGGTGTTTTTAATAGATTATAAAATAGATTTAAGTTAAAACGCATTTTTTCATGGCCTATAAAAGCAAACCAGAGCATTAGAATGAAATCTAACGACTTATGTAATTTTCAGTGCTTGAAACCTCTGGTGTGGAGGGTAGGTGTCAGGCAAAGAGATGAGCAGAATGCTGCCAAACAGCCTTTTTGGAACATTATCTACAGCTAAGATTCTCACTGAATGATTCATTTGATTGTTGCAGAGAGCAAGGTGAAACTTTTTATCAGAGGAGACTACTTACACATGATTAGGGTAAAATCAGAAAGAAGGATGGGATGTACTGCTTGTCTACAGTGAGCAACAGAATCAAAACAAACCAAAGTTCCTTATTGGAGCTTCAAGATAACATAAAATCCACAGTCAAAGTTTTTAGTTTTGATGTAAAGAGGACCTTGACTTAGAAAATCTGAGATCCATCAGCAAGGGATTCACAGTTTAGGGGCTCGGCCAAGGCCTGATCATCTTAAGCCACCAGGAAAATTGCTAGTTCACGCTGAAAAATCCTTAAAAACATGATTCATTTATATTTATCTGTTTTTAAATTTTTCCCAGCAGGTATGGAAGCCGAGGACAACCGAAAAAAGACCGATGCACCACCAGATGTTGACCCTCAGACCCCGGTTCTGCGCATCAGTCAGCTAGATGCCCTTGAGCTAGACACATCCCTGGAGCAGCTGCTGTGGACCCAGTTCTCCCAGTGTTTCCAGAACTGCCGCCCAGGCCTCCTCACCCCTCTGGAGCCCGAGTTGAAGGCTCTGCTGCAGCTGCTCCTCTGGAGGTTCACCCTGTATTCCAACAGCGCCACCGTGGGCCAGTCTTTACTGAGCCTACGCTACCACAATGTCCTCTCCACCTCTCCTCGTTACAGACCTCTGACCCGCAGGCAGAAACTGGGCCTGGCCTTGCTCACTGCAGGTCCCCGCTGGCTCCAGGAACGCTCCCACAGCTTGCTGCTGTGTTTGGGTTCAAATTCAGGAGCGTCTGATGGAGACAGGGGCGTTCTCCAAAAATCTCTACGCAACTGCCTGATCTTTGTTTCTGGTATCACACAGCTCGCAGGTCTCCTTAACTTCCTTGTGTTTCTAGGGAAAGGTCGCCATCCTGTCCTAGCTGAGAGGATTGTTGGGGCTCGGGCAGTTTTCAGCAAACCTAACGTAACACGGGACATTACCTACCAGTACATGAATCGAGAGCTGCTGTGGCACGGCTTTGCAGAGTTCCTCATCTTCCTGCTACCGCTCATCAATACGAGAAAACTGAAGACGATCTTATCTTCGATAGTTTTCGGGGGAGAAAGCGCTGCCGGAAACGGAGCGGCGGAAGGGTCGGGAGTGTGGAAAGAGTGTGGACTTTGCGGAGAGTGGCCGACCATGCCTCACACAGTGGGCTGCCAACATGTTTTCTGCTACTACTGCATCAAGAGCCACAGCATTGCAGACGTGTCTCTCACCTGTCCAAAATGTGGAGCAGAGGCAGGACCGCCTGAACCGGTTAAGATGGAGGTGGAGATGATGGGCAGGTGAAAGCATGAACAAGAGACTATGACTAAAATCATTAAATTTGCCTTATTTTGTCAGAAAAACTAGCTAATTTATAACAAGATATTTGGTAAAGACAAATTTGAATAAAAACAATCATGTATCAGGACAGTAAGTGTTTCTGTTCTACAAGAATTCAGCTCTTTTGATGGTTGAGTTTATGACTCCAGTCTTTATGATCTCAGTGTCTTTTCTGAACACACATCGACCTGCTGTGTTTAATGTATGTGTGCATATATTGACAGTCCTCGGCCCCATCCGTTCCTCCAGCTGGACTTTGGACAGAACTATTTGTCTTTGCTGCACTGGACAGACTGCAGAGAACCACACAGAGCATATATTTGATGAGGGAACGTGTTGATTTATGCTCCAAATTGGCTGAGCACATGTGTGTGTGCGTTAGTGTATGTGTGTGTTTGTTGAAATGGGAATATTTGTTCTGATGAAAAATGCAGAAAGTCAGCTGAATAAATAATGGGAGGAATTTCTGATGCCTCTCATCATGGCCAAATTAGCATTTGTTGTGTATTTTGTGCCTAAATTGTATTTCAACATCATTAAAATTGATAGAGTGCTACCTCTTGGGTGTTTACTTAGTTAAGTGGAGGAGAGAGAGATGAGGGAAAGTTATAACAATCAGCACACTTCTCTCGAGACAGGCCCGGTCGTTCTAACTCCCATTATCCGTTTTCACAGCACCCCAACATGCTGAAGATCAAGGGGGCAGCCGGGGGCTTGGATTGACTCTCACACATACACACTCTTGACAGCCAGCCTCTCTTTTCCCTTGGCCTTTCTCTCTTTTGCAGCCTTTCCATCTCTCTCCCTCTGTAATCTCCAGGGCCCTCGCCCCTATAAGACTGTAGTAAACTGTACCAAAACCCTGGCAGTCGTCTCCTTCCTCGCAGGCGAATTACTCTCTAATCCCTGTAATGAGTCCAAAGATGCTTATTTATGCTGGAGTTAACCTCCACCAGTGAGCCCAGCCCCGGGCCAAACGCACCCCAGCTGAGTGAAGCCTTTCCTGGGCTGACAAGAGAGGAGCGGGGTGGGGTTGGTGGGCTACCTCCCACCTCTCCCCCTCTTCCTCCCCCTTCTACTGCTCTGATCACTAGGGCTTAATTGCTGATTGCAGAGACGATCAATCGGAACTGCAGGCGTGATAGAAAGCCTATTGCGGGGAGTCGGTCTCAGATCTAGCGGCACAGAAAGACGCGTACACACATTTGCACTCGAATGAGGTTAATGTTTCTGTTGAGCGGAAAGCATGTGATATTTGTCCTCGTGAGGTGTCAAGAATTTTAGGTTGGTGGGCCGGCTTTGCTGATCTTATATAATTTAATGCCACTGACCAATGTGATCTCTATTTCTCCTCGAAATACTGGAGTATATATGCGCTGGGGTGTATGTCCTTGGTAGTCATGTGAGGCCAAAATTAATTAAAGAGGTTTAAAGCATATATGAAAGTACCGAAAATGGACATCTTGAGGTGGGAGTTACAGTCCTAGATGATGATTGGTCCTGACGTTGTAAAAAACATAGAGCTCATCGTGTGGATACTCGGCGGCCTTCATCCACATCAAGGACATTTTGACTAATGAGTCCTACAGCAATGCATACAAAGCCCGAGATACGGAAAGGCATTTGTCAATATTTTATGCGCTGCATTACAGTAATGTGCAGCAAATCCCAAGAAAGCGAGATTAAGGGGGATGTCTGAGATTAGGGATGCATGCGATCAACTGTAATGCCACAGGGACATGTCATTGTCTTAACATTTAGACAGACTTACAATCCAAACCTTTTTGCAGATATTACTCTACAACTCCAGCTGAAGTCCCCAATCCCCCAGAAAGAGAAAAGATAAAGAAGAAACAGTGCATTAAAGTCTATTAATTGAGTTAGGCCCTGGATTGAATTAGTTGGAAGTTGGAACAGGGCTCTGGACTTAAGGAAGGTAGCTGGGGCTCTGTTAAGCCTATCTGTCTTTGGATCTTTTCTAATTCACAGGCTCCGTGCGGAGAAGAAAAAGAGGAAGAAGCCCCGATTCCCAGCGGCTATGCAAAGCAATCTGCACATTCACACGCAGCCATTTAGGGAGCAAATTGGCCCTGTGCCCCCTCTGACGAAGGTTTTAAGAGAAAGGGAATTAGGGCGTTGAATCCCTAACTAGATCTCCTTCTTTGATGAGCCTCTTTATCCGCCTGTCCCTCATCTCCATTTCTTTGATGTTAGGCGTTGATTTTCCTGATTAAATAGTTTTTAAAGTAAAAAGCTCTTCTCTGGGCTCTGTAATACCCGGTACTTTACTGTACCTATTGTAGGTTCGTTTGTGTGCATGCTTGTTGAACGGTCCATCTGTGGTATTCTTTAATTGGAACAGAGCCCTTGGCTTGCAGATAATAAAAAAGGATAGTACAATAGCTTTGATTCGTACCTGCATATTTTTCTCTTAGAAAGAATGTTATCATTTAAGCTTATGCCTGGCTTTTACCTCTTCATTTGAAATGGCTAGAAGGTCTCAGAAAGCCCTAATGAAATTAAAAGAGTGAAAACACCTGTGCTTTCTCTCTTCAAGAAAATTCCCCCTCTCATCTCCTCTGCTCAGGGTGTAAGCTTTTGCCTACTTTTCAACAGGTAAGGGAATTACGACCCTCTTGTGATGGGGAGATGTTTTTAACAACACTTTCAAAGAGTGGATGACATTAGTTCCATGCCAAGAAAAAGGATGAAACAAAAAAATGCTCCCTTTATTTGTTGACACCTCAGAGGATTTCTGACACCTGTTTATTTTTTCTTCTTGTGGCATGTCCAATATGTCAATCGGAGTTACAAGTATCTCTCATATTTCATCTACTCAATAAAAGACATGCCAAACATAAAACAGCAAAATTCCTCCAAGGTAGTGAAATCCTAGGTGTGTGCAAGTTCAGGGCTGCAGCCGCTGCAGGTACCTGCGTTATGAGAGTTCTTTCAACACCTGCCGGGCGTTTGATACCATCGGGCCCAATTATCTAAGTCTGCCTCCTCTTCTTAACCACCTCTTCAGTCTAACAGGTCAGGGGGACAATCAATCACACCTAAAATAAGGAAGTAATTTCCTCAGCTTTTATCATGGTGTTGAGGTGTTGTCTGGTTGCATTTCACACTCAGAGAAAGACGGAGCGGGAGCTGGTTAGGGAATATATAGAATCTGGCCTTTCCGTTTTTATTCTTAAGACCCAGGATAATTTGGGATCTATATAGGATCCATATGTTCACTTCAATATGCGTAGTTCTGGAGAGCAAAGACAGAGATCAAGAAAATAGACAAAAGAGGCGTGTATTTGAGAATACAAGTCGATAAGGGTTATGCTTCTGTATAACTTAAAAAAAACTTAAAATGTAGGCTGTATCCTCCTACTCCATATCAGAAAAAGAGAAATCTCTGACAGCGTGCGTGCAGCCTGGATTCAGACAAACTCAATATTGTATTTTTTGTTATACTTTATTTTTACTCCTCTAAAAACTCAGGGATGTGCAAAACTAAACGGTGATCAACTGGTGTGCTCACATAAATATGCAATACTTAATCCACCTTTAAGATATTCAGAAATCTGTTTTTATTATTGCAACTTTCTATTTATCATTACACTTGCTGATCCACCAGGGATCACTTTCTCTGCCCTGAAGAACTCTGAGTCAGGAATTTTATACTTCATTAAATAAAAACACTAAACAGACTTTATCTCCAACTTATTTAATATTTCACATCCTCTGACTCAAACACGGGGCTAAAAGGATGGAAGCAAACTTTACCTGACCTGTCCTCTGATTGGATGAGCTGGGACAAGAGTAGCAAGGGGATTGGACAAACGACCAGAGGGCATCATGGGGGATTATACACAGGTGTGTTGTGGTGCGCCTAGGGTAAGATCTGCCAAAGCCAAGCTTGTTTGTGTGCCTGTTTGTGTGTGTGTGCATCCTGCAGTCTGTGCGTGTGTTTAGCCATCTCAGTCCTCTTCCTACTGATGTCTCGAGCAGACTAAATGAGCAATAATCTGCACACATCCCTCCAGATGTCCCAGTGAATTTCCTGTGGCTTAAGGCGCCAGCTGAGCTCTTTGAAAGTTTTGATAACTTCTGCAAATGTGATTGAACCTCTGCTTGTTCAGGAATGTGGTGCAGGACACAATGTGCTTACTCTCATTTCCCCTCACATAGATGAAAAAGGAGGCATGCGCTCGGCCCCCGAACAAATACACCTATTGGCACAATAAAGTCATGTGCACCTTTTAAAGCCACTGGAAGACCACATCCTCAAAAGCCTTTGAGCTAGCGAATTTCAGCTCCTTAGAGGCATAACAGTAACAATTTAAGGATAAAAAATATATGAATTGATCTAGAAATATTGTCATTTCAAGACAGTTTTGGAAACTGCCTTGAAATTAGGTTTTAGTTGGGCCTGGTTGTCCTTGATAACTTGTAACAAAGGTTTTGGATTAAAAAATTAGACTGCAAAATTGAGGATGAGCAAGAGTCATCCACACCTGATAATTGTTTTCTGTTCTATGTGAGCTGTGTTGTTGATTTTTCTATAAGCAGCAAACACCAGTGTCGGAAATAAAGCCAGTGTGGAACCCTGCAGTTCCTCGACTGTCCACTTGAGGCTTGCTCCAAAAGCTTAGGAATGCCCACTAACATCCATGTTAAAAATCATTATGGCAGAAATGATCATGTTTACAGCACATTTCTCTGTTTGCACACATACAGTACAGGTGAAATTTCAATCAACTCATCAGTTTTAAAGATTAAAAAAAAAAGTGGCATATTTTTGCATGAGAAAGCATAACTGAGGGCATCCCTGACTTGACTGACAGGTGCTGCAGAGCTGTCAACAAATATTCTAAATTTGAATATATATTCAAGTCTTTAAATTTTAAATATTAGATTTGAATGTGAAAATCAATATTCCAATATTGCCTGAACCGCAGGAAAAAAACGAGTGGGGAAAAAAACAAAAAGTGAGCCCATCTTGAGGAGCGTGGTCTGGACTCCCACGAACAAATCCTGGGCAGGCATGGTAGACGGGAAAAAATGGTGAGCGAGATAAAGTTTTATGCAAGCTGTGTGAGTTAGATATCTGAATATGTTCAAACCTTTGTGTTATTTTTAGGACCAATATTATTAGGACGAATACATAGCACTGCCGAATACTACACAGCTATCATTGTTACATTTTGTTGATAGATTGAAGAACAAGGAGAAGTGTTTTAGCTTAAAAAAAAAAAAAAATTAGCATGTTTATGTAATCTGCAAACAATGCTATAGAAAGCAAAACCTTTAATTCACAATTCATTGACTATTTAAAATGTTTACATTTCCACATGGCTGGGCTCTTGCTTTCTTTTCTGACTCTAAAATATACAAGTTTAACATCAAGGATGGCACCACACAGACTGCCAAATGTGCTGCTGCTGCATGCTAAACCAGGGCGATGCTAATCAATACTTGACATGTCATGCCTAAAAATGATCTCCCAGGCAAAAGGAGCAATTTTAAAGCTATGGTGTACAACAGTAATACAAGATTCATCTCCACTCAGATTTTACAAGAAGCTAAATGAGACTTTCAACTTGAATGTAACTTTACAGCTAACATGTTTGGACTGAGCTGGAGGCTAAGGTGAGGCCTACCAGACCAGGAAGTGCAGCAGTGTGGTACAGTGGTGGCACATGCTCACACAACAGTTAACAGAGAGCAACAGTACCTTGGAGGAGCAGGCAGGAGACTGGTTGAGGAAGCAGCGGGTCCACAGCCAGGTAGGCACTCAGCGGAGGAGGTGGAAGGTAAGTCAGGACCAGGCAGAAGCACAAGAAGCTAGCACAGGGTGTCCTCTTTTTGGGGGGCTTGTCCGGCCTTGTCCAGGGAGGTTTACAAAATCCTTCAAATGTCTGAGGTTTTGTATGGAAGTTTTGAGTTTGTGTTGCGTGGACTAACAGAGTTAGAAGCACCAAGGAAAAAACACTTGACCTGACCCGAAAAACCATCAAAATTTACTATGCTCGACTCTGTGACTCCACCCCGTCCTCTTTTTGGGGATTCAGAATATGGTCACCCTAGTCCACATGGTGTCTAGTGTGGCATGCCAGTGCCAAACACCCAAGAGGAAAAGGAAGTCACTGAAGAAGAACTGGAGTTTGTATGAGAGAGTCTTGCATGGTGACAAACAAAGAGCAAGTGAGCAGAAGAGGCTTATATACTGGCTTGATTGGAGCTGAAGAGTAGGTTAGTGCACAGGTGTGCTGCATTAGTTAACGAGATGGGAGTGGCTGTAAGGCAAGAGAGAGAGGGGGCGGGGCTAGTGGAAAAGTACTGGTAGAAGGTAGGTAGGTGATGGAGAAGACTGGGAAAGCCTATATTTTTACTTTTCAAGGTATTTCATTTTCTTTGAGTGAAGAACTAGAGATAAATGTAAATATTTTACCACTTGGTAAATGCACAGTTTTTCTCCTCTCTCTTTTTTTCCCTTTTTTTTTTCTTTTTAAAAACTGTATTGTGAATGGTTGTACATATAGACTTTTTTCCATACGTGTGTGCTGTATGTCTGGGGGTAAAAGTCCTCTGATGATTTGGAAATCCACCACAGGTTGACAGCAACACCAGAGGAAGGTGGTGAAGAAGAACAGAGATTTATTCCCCATCACCTGTCAGTCAATGCTGCTACAAGGCCCTCGAGCCACATAAGCAACAAAATGCAAGCCGCAGCACACGTAAAGTGCCATTAATATTTGATCGAGTCCTGTCAATCTGACTTCCACGACTGTAATTTACTAAGAAAGTGTAATATTTTAATCCCAGAGCAAAGATTTGGACATTAAACGGAAAAGGCCATAGGTAGAAAGCAGCCTCATGCAGACCCAGAAAGAGGAAGTTGCCCTGCATGTAGATAATATAGAGTTTCTGTCTGCAAAGGTAACAAGAAGAATTTCTAAATTACATGTGTAGGCAACATACTGAACAATGAGAACAGCAGGCAGAAAAAGCCTAACCCTGTTAAGTATGAGGCTGCCGGGTAATGACAACGTATTTGTGCATTTCAGCATCTTGGAATCTCCGGCTTGTCGATGAAGGAGGAAATATAATTTTTGTGGTTGCCATGGTTACCCGTGTGTGAAGGTTTGTGCTGCGAGTCTCGACTCCTCCAGGAGATCAGTGAACCGCATGTGTCAACCGGCATTAACCTGCTCAGTCCAACTGATGCAGGGAGACACACATGCACAGGAGAGAATAATAAACACGCACAAACATGCACATTAACCTTCTCATCTCGACACAGAGTACAGTGCAAAGCAAACTGAGGCTTTCTAAACACACAAATACAGAGCTGGGAGTGCAGCTAGGCATTATGGGAGCTGATATACCCCTGAGTGAACATGGAGCTGTAACCTGAAGAAAAAACTTTGATTATGATGTTGTTCTGTTGTACTACATCAGGTCTAAACCCCCAATGTGGAGTTTTATTCTCCAAACAGACAAAGTACTCCCTGCTTTACTTTCTTTTACTTTTTCTATAAGCGGGGCTGTTTATTTTCCCACTTTGCCGCTTTTAGTGGCCATTTCTTTTATGTTAACCCTTGTTTTTTTGGGGTTTAGAAAAAAATATGAGTTTAGGATACAATTTCAGAGATGTTTTAACCCATCCCCAGACATTCATGTGAGGTGCTTTAGCTCTTTTCGCAGAGCATGAAGCCAAGGTTAGTGGATTGTTCCAAATGGGACCATGTCAGCTGAATTATTCATTTATATTCCTTTAGCACCCATCAAATTAATATATATGCATACTGAAACAGCTCCTGTTGGATCTAGGTTAAGTATATTGTGGGGCAGTTTGCAAGATCCAGCCTGGGTTTCACATATTGCTTTTTCTTTGCATGATTCGAGCTAAATTCTTGAGCTAAAATATAATTTTAACAATCATATATTCCCCCAGATTAGGATTTTGTGGTCTGGCATAATTGTTATACTCTCCTCTGGAAAGTAACACTCGATTGTTCAATTGCTAGACTGTTTTTTAAAAGGAGCTAAATTGAGATTTCTCTGGAATTTTACCCAAGAATCAGCTCCCTGGCATTTCCACAGTCTCCGCTTTCATCCTCTCCTCTCAAACATGCCAGACTTTTCTCCGAAGGGCCCCCTAACTGACACTCTGGGCTTGTTGTCAAGTATTATGTTCTCGAGTGTTTGTGCTTGTCTCCCGCGCCAAGCTGCTGGAGTCCTCTCTGCCCCATCCACACAACATTCAGCAGTCATATCTCTGCTTGTCTATCCAGGAGCCCGGCGTGTTTTCCTTCAAAGTCAAATTAAAAAGGTATGCCAGAAAAGGAGAGCATATCTGCAATTCAGAACACATTTTTCTATCAGACAGGAGATATATTGCCGACTAAGTATTGTCAGATGTTGGCAAATTCCACATATTTTTCATATCCGGCCCCCTGAAACTTGGGGCCGCTTCCAGACTCACGGCACATCATCGACAAAGACTCTGTTTGACCTCAGGAGCATGGGCAGAAATGAACCGAATATCCATTCTGCTCGCTGCAAAAATATTTTCTCCGATATAAACGCAATATCAGCGGCTATAAATCATTTAGGAATTCATTTGGAAATCATTTGAAAAACACATTTATTTAGGGAGGTGTTCATCAATAAACGTGGCTCCTGTGGAAAGTTTTATTTATATATTCATGCATTCAATGGATTCAGTTATTCATGTATTCACTCATTCACAAGGCCTAGTCAGTGGCGATGCGTCAGGCCCCCTGTGTGTGTGTGTGCGCATTTATGTGTGTGTGTGTGTGTGTGACCTGCGGCGTAGTCCTGCTCTGCTGCGGGCTAGTGCCGTTCCCCAGGGGGCTCTCATCTTTTACTGAGCCCTGACAGAAGATGGAGGCTGGGAGAGGGGTCCGCTGCATTAAAAAGCCTTTACCTAGCTCTGATTTATCACCTCTGCCTCACACACACACACATACACAATCACGCGCGCACACACAATCACAACCACGCAATCCCCTCTGCCAGCCCCACGCCATCTCACCCATTCCTCGCCGCAGCTCCACTCTACACTCTATCAAACACACAGACATATAGATGCACGCGCACACACACTTAAATGGACACACATTCACACACCATCAAACACATACTCGTTCCATCATAAGATGGCTGCCTCGGAGAAAGAGTGAGGGAGCGGGGCGCCGCACTGCACCGCAGTGGTGATTTTGCATTTTAATGGTACCCCTCCTCTCTTCCCATCAGCCCTCTCTCCCCCTCAGTTGGTAATTCTGGTGTGTGTCGCAGGCAAGCAGGCGGCGAGCCACTGGCTACCTCACCACAGGAAGACAGAGCGACACAATTACAGGACAGCATTTCCTGGGTACGCCACCTGCAAAAGCCTGCATTTGAATGTGACAGGCACGGAAGGAGCAAAGGAAGATGGGTATTTGTGTGTGTGTGTGTGTGTGTGTGTGTGTGTGTGTGTGTGTGTGTGTGTGTGTGTGTGTGTGTGTGTGTGTGTGTGTGTGTGTGTGTATGTGCAGAGTCAGAGGAAGTTGACTGTCATTACAACAAAACAAGGAGCACGCAATCTCTAAAGCTTCTGCACACGCATACACCAAATGAACCTTTAGTTTGACTCACAGACACAAAGAAAAGAGTAAAATACTGTAAAAATAAATAAAACCACTTTGTAAGGTCACTCATAACAAATCTGTAACTGCTTTTGTGGATGTTAACACTTAACAAATACATGAGCAACACTTCAGAGCGGTACAAATGCACTGGCACAAAGACAGACCCATACAAACATACAAGCATTCACACAGGAACACAGCACTTTGTCCTTGAGAGGGTCCAAGACTTAGTAATCATATTCATTCATTCATTCATACATATGGGTGGAATACATTTGCTCCGTCTCCACTCCAGTTATTGCATGAGTGCTGATAAAAACTGGGAACACAATAAAAAAAAAAAGAATGAATTTAATCTCAGAATAAAAACCCCTCATTTCCAGCATACATTAAAACAAGTTGACTGCACAAGAAGGTATATGTTAAGCATTGATAAGTCTTCGCCTCAGTGTGTTTTATTCAACCTTTGTTCAGTCAGTGCACCAGGTGGAATCAAGGATGTTTAGTAAAAGACTGTACAGGAAAAGTGTTCAAAAAAAAAATCTCACTTCTTAGTTTTGAAGGACATGCAACACAATTATGTATGTTTTCTGATGCTAGTTTGACATCTTCAACTCAAGTTTCAGCGAAGATATAGTGTATTAGTCTTACACACTTAAAATGAGACACATCCAGCTGACGAATCAGAATTTAAAACTAAGGGCCTGAATTTCCTCTTAAGAGATATATATCTGATGTTTCGATAATCCAAATTTTCAGTTGAAGTCTTTTGTGATCCTTTCTTGTTTTAAGATACTTGGCTAGTAATTTTGCATCCATAACAAAAAAATCAGACCTATTTTTTTGCTTGTGTTGTCCCAGAACAAGTTCTGTGTCTGTTCATGTCAAGTAAATGTTGTTTAAAGCTCCTGCAAGGAGTTTTATTTTTGGTTTATGATATAGATATAGATATTTATGACATAGGCTGAAATGATGCCTTTTAATGATATGATATCCAAAAGTAAACAAGTCCATTAGGGACAAGAATGAAAACTTTTATACTGTGTTTTTATAAAGCCTGAAAGCACTATTAGGGGGTATGTGTTAGCAGAGCAGCTGGAGAAATTGCACTGTTTTTAAAATGTCCACC